TGTGGGGTAAAAACTGCCTAACATTTGTGGGGTAAAAACTGCCTAACATTTGTGGGGTAAAAACTGCCTAACATCTGTGGTGTTTCCTTCGGCAGCTAGTGGTGGCATCAAGAAGTCTGGTAAGAAGTAGGATGACCAAGCTGCTGGAAAAAGCGATCGAGTTATTCAGTGGACCTGCTGGCTTCAGAAAGCCAAGAAAACTCACCTTCATTTGAAAACCTTGTACATTTTGTTTAGTCAGAATAAACCTTTTTTGTTAAGATGTCATATTTTCTCCAAGTGAAAATTTTGTGCTAAAAAGGGGCAAGCCTAGATTTTACTGGAACTGAAACACGTAATGAAGGACACTTTGTGCCGCCTGCGTGCAGCTGCAGCTTGGGGAGGGGCAAATTGGAGATATAAAAATCTCTATATCACTTACCCCCTCACACCTTGGGAGAGGCGGGGTGGGAGGAGCATGCGCATTGCGGCCTAGGAGCCGGAGCTGCGCATGCGCACCACGCCTTGCGCACGGCCGCCGCCCGCAGCGCCGTACTGCGGCGCTTTGGCACTCGCGCATGCGCACTGGCGCACGCACGGCTGCCTTACCGCTCAATCCCCAGTGCCGCTGCCGGCTGCGCATGCGCATTGGTGCTGGCCGCAGCGCCGCGGCAGCGGCCAGCAGCGCCCCCTGGCGGCGCCCCCGCGCGCGCATGCGCGAGTCCTGCCCGCCGCCTGGGGGAGGTTTCCACAGGGCGGAGGACGATGAGCCCCGGGGTGTCTTTGTGGTGCTGAGCCCGCAAGGGGACCCGAAACACTCCCACGAGCCTTGATAAAGAGCTTCCCTGCCCTCCTCTGCTCCTTCCTACTCTGCCACGGCTCGCCGTAGCTGTTGCTCTTTGTTGAGGGTGGCCCTGGGTTGGAAGCACCTGCAAAGAGTCTGAGGAGAAATGGGAGTTTCCAGCTGGGAGCAGAGAAAAGCTGGGTCTACCTCTAGTTTCGCCAGAGACTCCGAGTGGATGGAGCTTCCCATATTGCCCTGTGTGACAATTCACCCTCCTTAGCCCACAGCAGTGGGAGAACCAAAGTCCTGCATTGCCACCTGCTAACGCTTTTCCTTCCTTTTGTATGTGAATGTGACATCAAAAGTCACTTCCAACCTTCTAACGTGTTAGAAACTCATTGTGTCACCATGAATCCGGGGAGAATGGTGACAAGGACTGCTAGGACATCCACTGCCTTATGAAGTGATGGAGGGATGAAGAAGCAGGGCATCCCCGTCGGGCATGGGGATCATCAGGAACCAGAGGGGAAGATCTGTGTACTTTCAGACACCTTCTTCAGGGAAAATTTTCCCTCACTATAAATATAAACCATATACATATATATATATATATGCAGACCATCTGGGAGGGATACAAGTGGTCTCTTGCACTAGGAGGGTAACTAGGGCAGAATTCCCTCAGATGTTCATACAGACACGTTGACCTCAGGAATCCCAAAGTTATTCTGCTTACACACGAACAATACTGCTGCCTGGGCCTTGAAGTACAGCCTACACCATGGAGTACAGCCTACGCCATCAAGTACAGCCAACACCATCAGGTACAGCCTACGCAGCCTGAGGCTGGCGAGCGCGGATGAGCAACACCACAAATTCAGTGCTGGGGGAAACTGAGCAAGCAAACAATAATGAAGTAGCCTTACCAAGGACAAGAAAATCATTTAAAATGTTGCTTGAAAGAGGAAGTTTCTGACCTTCAAGATTTCCTATAACATATGAAAATATATGATTACAAAATCACCACTGCAGATGACTTCCTACAGGGGAGGTATCATATTTAGTTGAGTGGGTTTATCAGGTTTTAAATTGGACAGCCCCTCAGCTGAAGCAAACTCAGGGTTTTTAAGTTCCATAACAAGTGTACAGCCTAGCAGAGCATGAGAATAAATACCACCTAAATACCCCCTAGTACTACATTTCCAAATGTACTTTGGAAGTACTCTAAAAGTGCACAGCTAGGGCTAAGTTTACAAATTTTTATACTTCTCCAGGCCCGTGCAGCACTGAGGAAGGATAACACACAATGTGCCTGTGTCCTGTGGTGAGAAGAGCTTTTGAAAAGCCTCAGAGCACTGAATAAATGAACATCAATTTTTTAAATAAACATCAAGTTTTTAAATGAACGCCAAATTTTAAAAATCTCACTGAACTAACAGGTTTCATGTTCAGTTCAGCCTTTTCAGCTCTCCTAAGTAAATACAGCCCAGCTGGACCACGTAAAACAGCATGGAGCTCTAGTCTGCAATATGTGGCTGCTGCTTCAACTTTTATTCATGGCCTTACCCTTCTGTCACCTTGGGCAGATAAGTACATTCACTTATTAATCTAGTAAAGTACTAGAAGTCAGTCGTGTATTTTTTGCCAAATATTTCTGGTTTTAGCTGGTTTATCTGAGGAGAGAAAAAAGGTTAATTATATCCATTTTATTTTTCTGTTGTCTTGCTATGTGATAGCCAAAGATTTGTACCTATTTCTTCACCTGACAGCTAAGAAGGTCTTTGAAATACTGCTAACAAATTTTGTTAAGAGTTTGAGGCTAGCTGGAACAAACAAGAGTCAGTTTGTCAAACACTGTCAGTTCTATGCCAAGAATGTGCAGAAAATCCTCTTTTCACGTGGTTTCAATGAAAGAGTCTGAATCATGTTGAATTTGCAACTCTGCCTGAGGAGATAAAAGTCTGCTGGAGCAGGCGTTAAGACCTGATTTCTCTTGCACATGGAAACCTCATTTATTCCTGTTTCTGTTGACATTCCACATAGTCTCACACTGTGCTTGAATGGAGTGAAAGGGACTGAATGTAAATAAAGGCTCAGAACAATTCACTATTCAAAGAAAGTTTGGTGACATCTCTACCATCATCAGAGTGAGAGCCTAAGCCAATGAGGCTTTTGGTTTGTGACAATTTTGGGTGTGTTAATCCTGGCAGGCAAGACAAGTTTAGTAAGTCAAAACTTAATTTGGAAGGAGACTCTAGACGCAGGTCTGAGATTCAAATGATAAATGTCTTTAGAAAGTTACACCTTGTCTCTTGGGAGCCTTTGAAAATCTCAGCTCTTTGGAAGTGTAATGGTCTTCCCCCCTACTTTTCCAACTATTAAAGCCATAATTCCAGTTTTAGCAATAAAGCACAGCTGGAAAGCCCAGTTCCGAAGTTTTATCTTTTGAATGTTTTACTATTACAGCCTTCATAGTTTGTAAATTACTTCCCTAATGAGAGCAGAAAGAGAAGAAAGAAATAATCAAATCAATTTTGCAACATTGTTTTTCTCCATCGTACTCTAAGGCTAGGATATTTAAATCAGTCTCCAAGTAATTGTGCAATTAATTTTATGCAGGAAAAAAAAATCAATTGTATTCATCTAGTATTAACAATCGTATGTAGTATTCCTGCTTGTCTCTTGGGTAATGCTATTATAGAGGGGTTTTGCAAAGCAGCAAATGCCAGATCATGGTTGTAAACACTTCCAAAAACCTTTTCAAATCTTTTTAAATGACATGGCATGAGCTTACAAAATTACTACCAAATCAGCTATGTTGAAGAGAATTGAACAAAAACTCAATACATTTTCTGTCACCTTGGGCAATGTTCCAAGTGTTGGTTCAGATGTTTACTACTTTGACATTATCATGGTCATTAACCTTACATGTAATTATGAAACTGTCCATTCCAAACCCCTTTAGTGTTTAACATTTTACAAGCTTTTAAAATACTAATAGGTTATCTAAATTGCTTTCAGAGATCAGAACTTCCATCTCCTACATATTTTAAATTTATATATAACATTGTAATTTTGGGAAAAAAATAAAGGCAAAAATGAGTGATGCAACAAGATCACATTTTGAGAATAAAAAGAGCATTTTCTGAACCACTGAGATGGTAATTCCACGTATCAAGACTTCTACATCAGTGATATGTTTATGCTTAGTCTAAAATGTTCTGCATTTGCTGTCTTGAAAGTCAGTAGATTAAGTAATACATTCCTTAAAAACATCTTTGGATTTAGCAGCAGCAGGACTAACATTTCAATGCTACTTCTACAGGTACCACTGAATTTGTAGTAGTACCAACCAGAAGCCAGCTGAGGCAGTTAACGAGGATAGCTGGATGGGGGAAAAGTGACAAAGTAGAAGTTCACATTTTTGAGAAAAAGCTGCTACAAACCCCCAAAGTTCAGACATAAGTGACAGAGAATAAAAATGAAATATGTGCTAAATTAAATATATGCTGTCCCCAAACCAAAGAAGTTTAGTAAAGAGGAAAATGACTGAGGGGGCAAGTATATAGCTGTGATGTAAAAATATCTTAGGTCTGCAGAAAATTTATTTCAGAGCTACTTACAGAAACTTTTTTTTCCCCCCCCCCCCCCCATATGTGGGGAAAAAAACAGGCGTGCTAGAACATAATTTTATTCTTTAAATTATGTTCTTTAAATGATGACTCATTCAATCACTTGTACTTTTGCTCAGTTCAAGTCACTTGTCGGTAGTATGACAGCATATCATCTAAACTTTGGTAAAGCGGTTCCTGGTCATCAGCACCACTGCTGCAGGCCTGCGCCGCGGGTGCTCCCTCGGGAGCGTCACAGCCGGGGGGCTGCGTTGGTGGCACCACCTCGGGAGCGTCGCAGCCACACGGCTGCGTTGGTGGCAGGACCTCAGGACCGTCACAGCCACACGGCTGCGTTGGTGGCAGGACCTCAGGACCGTCACAGCCACACGGCTCTGTTGGTGGCAGCACCTCGGGACCGTCACAGCCGCATGGCTGCGCTGGCGGCAGCACCTCGGGAGCGCTGTAGCCATAGGCCTGCATGGGTGGCATTGCGCCCTGCGCGCCGTAGCAGTAGGCTGGCATTGGTGGCAGCATGTCGTGAGGACCGTAGCCGTAGGCCTGCATTGGCACCTCATGAGAGCCGTAGCTGTAAGCCTGCATGGGTGGCAGCACGTTGTGAGCGCCGTAGCCATAAGCATGCATTGCTGGTGGCAGCTGATGAGTGTGGCAGCAGTAACCCTGTGCTGACAACAGCGCATCCTGACCGTCGTAGCCATCATCCTCCTCTGATGAAGTTTCATCTTCAGCCTCGCTGCCGTGGGCCTCTGATGCTGACATACCTGGAGCATCACTGCTGCCGGCCTGTGCCGATGGTGGCACATCTTCAGTGCTGCTATCACCAACCTGCTGTGATGGCAACTGGTGGTTCTGTGCTGTCTCCTGCTCCTGTTTTTCTGAGGAGGCTTCAGGACTGTTCAAATTCTGGCTATAATTATCATTTTTCTTTTGTCCCATAAAGTAATCAGAAGGTGGTGCAAATTCTGGATCTCTGTCATCTCTGAGATCTTCTTTTATCTTGGACCATTGTCCAAAAATCAGTTCTGTTAGAAAAAAAGCAAATGATACATAGATTTCAACAGCTGAAGATCAGTCAGAAAGGAATTAGCAAGCAGGGAAGATGCAGCTACTTAGAGTCATTTGAAATTACTTTCCCATCTAGTACTAATTGTTAGCTAAGCCAATCACCCATTCTCTGTATACAGCAGAAACCAAACCACTGAGTATTAAATATCACACTCTAAATAACCCATCTTAAGTCACTTTAAGATCCTTTAACAACCTGATTGTTAAGAAAAACTACTAATTTAAGCAGACTTGAAAAAAAGTAGCAGATATAAAATGCTGTTTTTAACTTCCTTCCTCCCACTCAAATGATACTCATTGACTGAAAACAAAGTCAAGACTGTAAAAAGTAAAAAGCATCTAGAAATACATCCATATTCTGTAGGAGAGGAATTCTGCTTTTACAGCACTCCACAGAGGGTGGGTGTTTATGTGTCCTTTCCTGTTCTTGCTTGCTTTTACCCAGAAGCCAGGCAGCAGATGACAGGAACAATATGCATGAGCTTAGATTAATGGTGAAACTGAGCTAATGAGTTTGGAAAGGATCTGGAAGAGACTAGTCAGTCAATGCTGTGACAAGGAAGATGCTTCCAAGTGGGAAAGCAACATGGACACTTATGCAAGCAGGTGGAGCCTGAGAAAAATGGAGTCTCAACTCCACTAATGACCAAAAACATTTTTCTCCAAAAGCATTTCTGGACAAACACTTTCTTCAAAATTAATAGTCAAATTATGTAATTCTTATTCACTATATTAGTGCTGAGTGAAAGCAGTACTAAACCTTTTGATTTAGAGAGTAATTTTCTTTGATGTAAATTAATTCCACTATCAACTTTTCCATATATATGACAATATGGTTAGAATAGGTTTACCCATGTTTTTCAGTGCTAGCCCATTTAGATGGGCTACATTTCAGCTGTGAGGTAAACAATAATACAGCTCCTCACCCTACCCAGTTTTTGGATTTAAAAAAAAAAGTTATCTGCAACACGTCCCAGCAATATTTTCTCTTCTGCTCTTTTGGGTATATCTATTTTCATGGTATGTTTAACTCTTCATAATCATGCAACAATCTCCCTTCCCTATAAACCAGCTATCTCTTTTTTCTTCTCCAAGTCTTTCCCTGTAATTCATTTATTCCACAAGATTTCCTAGATACAGTGATCGTACGTTACATTGGCACTGAAGTGGTTGCTGCCTGCCTCACTTTTTATTATCATCTTGTACCTTTTTCACTGTGCTTCGTCCTGACATCAAGTGGCCTACAGTACTTTATCAACAATAAATCAAACTGAAACATAGTGAAGTTCAAAAACTATGGAATTTGTCATCCTGTCAAGCTCCCTGGATCATCTAGATATGTAATAACTTACGGGAGATAAAATTAGGGGATATTATGGCAGCTACTGACACGATGCCATGCATTGTCAATCACTGCACTGGCACTAAGACAAGAATCAATTTAAAACCAGAAAATGTTTCATTACTTTTCACTCTTATCATACTTTGTCATCACAGAGGATGAGGACAGCTCTGTACACACCACTGCCAAGCAAAATCGCCGCGTCCACATTTCCTCACCTTTGCCTTTATCCCACTCTCGGACATAAGGCACGCCAGGCTTTGTATCTCTCCTCTCCTGGATGATGACCTCTACCTTCCTACTTGCTGATGTGACTCTTGGAGCTTCTGGTTCACTTTGTCCTGGGCCAGTAGCATCTTTAACCTCTATTTTAAAGGAGAAAAGAGTTTCTGTGTTACTAACACAGTCTCCTAATTGAACTTCATAGGAGGGATAGGCAAGTAATAGTTATTGCAGGTAATAGTTATTTGTATTTATACACTTTACAGTAGTTACCTAATTTAATTCTAATAATAAAACGCAGTTTATTTTTTAATTAATGTATATTATTTCAGAAGAGATCATGATAAGCCAGACGATCAAGCAACAAACTTAGCAAGAGACAGTTCATTAGTTTCCTAATGGTATTAAAGAGAAGAACTATAATCCATGTAACATGCAACACACTTCTTCCTGTATTATTGTTATTTCTGGCATGATTTTATACCTACACGCAGTTATAAAGACTCTTACAATTTTAATGGTCACTCAAATTGCACATATAGATTATATGCATTCAATATATCAAGCATTCAAATCTACAGCAGGTAAAGGGTGACCAACTGCTCAGGCACAAGCTATGAGGGCAAATATTTCACTTGAAGATGACCACAAGCCATACCTCCACTCTCTAGCTGGTCTCCCTCTTCCTCCAGTCCATCTTCCTTTAACTTCTTAGCCTTCCGTGCTCGAAGTTTAGATAGTCTGGCTTCGAGAGCTGCCTTTCTTTTTTCTTTTAACTGTTCACGTTTATTTCTCTGATCAAGTGTCTTAACAGTAAAGAAAAACATGAATTAGCCTTCTTGTGTTATCAGAATCAATTGCATATCTTCAATAAAGAGCTAAAAGCAATCGGTATCAGGCATCATGTTTCAAAAAGGGAAAAGAGGTCCCACTTGTTGGGGTGAGCTGAAGGAATCACTGTGTATAATTCTTATACAACAGCTAAAGACTGCGACAACCACAACTTGATGCCTTTGTATATCAATTTGCTTTTTAAAGCCATACCTGCTCTCTTAGCATATCTAGGGTCACCCTTTGTTTATGTCTCAGTTCTTTGTCACGAGAAAAGGCGAAGTAACCAACACCAAGCTGCCTGGCCTCTGAAATGAAAGTCAATAAACATGTTACTGTAAGTTTTCAAACCACAGACACTAGAAGCACCACAGACCTTGCTTTCAAGCACTGCATTACACAGAATCACAGAGTGGTTGAGGCTGGAAGGGACCTATAGAGATCATCCAGTCTAACACCCCTGCTCGAGCAGGGACACCCAGAGTACAGGACACAGGGTGGCATCCAGGCGGGTTTTGAAGACCTCCAGAGAAGGAGACTCCACAGCCTCCCTGGGCAGCCTGTGCCAGGGCTCTGGCACCCTCACAGTGAAGAAATTCTTCCTCATATGGAGATGAAACTGCCTGTGTTTCAACTACTAACACCCATTACCCCTTGTCCTATCACTGGCCACCAATGAGAAGAGCTTGGCCCCTTCCTCCCTACATTCCCCCTTCATGTACTTATTAATCAGGTCCCCTCTCAGCCTTCTCTTCTCCAGAGAAAACAGGCCCAGCTCACTCAGTCATTCCTTGTACAATAGATGCTCCATTCCCTTAATCATCTTTGTTGCCCTCCGCTGGACCCTCTCAAGAAGCTCCACATCCCTCTTATACTGGGGAGACCAGAACTGCACACAAACTCTCAAACACACGCACGCACCAGTTTGCCTGGTTTAGACAATGCTAGTTTTAGATAATGCATGAAGTGAAGTATCCTGAAGGATAATGAAAGATGACGAAATGAAGATTTTAAAATAAAAGAAAAATAAAATTTGAGGAAAAGAATCCTAGACAGCTAATTGAAAAGATTATTACAAATGTGGTTCGACATGTACCTAAAGTTTGTCCTGCAGGCACAAGAAGCAACTTTCCCTTCCTTCCTCTAAAACCTCTTTGTGAAGATAAGCAATATCAAATAAGAAAAAATACCATTATCTCTTATGTCTTCATAATGTATTGGTCCCATGGGTTTCCTGAGGGCTTCTTCTTCTTCCCTTTCCCACTGCTGCCTCTGAAGTTCTCTTCTCATGTCTTCAGATAACAGGGTATTTCCATCAGGAATTATTCTAACAAATAAATAAATAAATAAAATTAAGGAGTACAGAGTAGAATTTACTGGTTCATATCAAAACACAGAATGGGAAATAAGTATTCACTGTTATTGGCAGTATTGGGGAGCTAGCAACTTCAGAGAGAAGCATTTTAAACTTAGCATATGAAAATGAAAGGTATTGGAAATAACAAAAACCTAGTCACTAGTTTACCTTAAAAGCCTAGGTCAAATATTAATACTTAATAAAGAAAACAGTGTAAAAGTGGTCTAAGGTAAAAAAATAAGGAAAGCAAAAGCTTCATCCATTCTAGGTGGAGAGTGGGATAACACAGCATAGCCTCTCTTCCCTTCCATTCGGGATATGTATGCAAAATAAAGCAGGGATCATACACTTCTGTTAAAGCAACCTCACATTTTCCCATGAATTTCCTGGTCCATTTTAAGTAGACTTGGCAAATCCTTCTTCATACAACGTCTAGATCTGCCTAATGAATCCACATAATCAACCCTGTAACAAAAGCAAAGGAAGTTAAACAGAGAACTCACACTTGCAGATTTATAGAACACAAAACAGGAACAGTGACACTTTCTGAAAAGAATTCATTGCATCTCTGCCTTTTCATTCGTCTACCTTTCAATTACAGACTCAGGTTAAAGTGATGCATTTTGAACAGGACATATGACAGATTTATTACAGACATTTATTTTATTCAGTCTAATTTTCAGCCAACTGTTTGTCTTGGTATTAAGACAGCATTAAAAAGATGTTTAAAAGTTAAGAGTCACATAGTTTCCACACCAAAATAAAACTGTGCCTAATACTTGCTTCCTGGGGTGAAAATAATGATGCAGCATTGACTTCTTGCAAATATTAAATTGCTGCAATATGTTTCAATTACCAGTCTAAAGCTCATTTAGAATAGGCTGATAGTGTTCATTGAACTGGTATAACAAAAGCTGATGAAAATTCCAGCAAAATGTTCATTTGAAGCACATACTGTGCTTCTTATGCAACTCTTTATAGTACTGAGTATTTAATCTATAAGCTGTCAAAAAAGCAGATAAAGAGCTGTATTATTGTCTGATAATTCTAGAGAGTTCTTTAGCATTGAGTTGCCTCAATTATCCCATTTGAAAGAATTCACAACATGCAGCATGACTGGTGATTTAGTTCTCAAAATATTAACTTTTAATGACCTGTGCTCTTAGTAAGATAGGTCTTCTAAACAGCTTTTCAGGATACTCAGAACTTGGTATCGGTACCCATTTTTTATTAGAATTTAACACCAGGAGAAAAAAAAAACCCAACCACTTGTCTTATGCAAAAGATATAAATATGGCTGCAGAATAATTAGCAGCAATTATATTAGCATATATATCTTTATTAGGGTAAAAGCCTTGCTGAGCTTGGCAATACATTCATACTTAAAAAATATTTAATCCCTCAGAGCTTTTCATACAGTAGTTAGTTTTACTGTCTTACATGTCATTGAAGTGAGAAAGACAATGATTCAAAAAAAAAAAAATCTCTCCTGTAATTTTCAAGAAATATATTAGGACAGTTCAGCACACTCAGCAGTACCAACCATTCTTCGTCTGGATCCTCAGGCGGTGGTATTTCCATTTCAGGTTGAGTTTCTTCATCATCCATCTCCTTTTCTGAAGTCTTTGTAGCATCTTCACCCTGACCCAGTTCATGAACTTCTCGCTGTCTGTCTATGATCTTCTGGGTGAAATCCACAAGGTACAAATCTTCAGTTTCTTCATCTATAGCAGAAAATCAATTCTTAGAGAACAAGTATGAAAAGAACAGAGCTGAACATAAAATCAATGCTGGATAGCCACAATCAGCGCTTCAACCTCGCCCACGCTATTGGAGACTACTTTAATCTCATTTTGTGCCAAACAAACTTGGAACTATAAGCAGATTCCATAGTGATAACCTCTATTTTTCAATACAAGTTTGAGTTCTGTTTTTCTTTTTAAGGAAAGTACAACATAGAAAAAGTTGCAGTCTTCGTGCTACAATATTCCCTGTTTGTTAACTATTTCAGAAGTACATGGCTTGTTACTTAGCAGTTAAAATACTCATTTGAGGCTTAATATTTGCTATCTTGACAGCAACTGAGCAGTCACTAGAGTTCTTTTCAGAAAATGAAGGATACATCGTGGACTCGCATATAGCAAAGATGGAAGTGAGTAAAGAAAACTAAAAATTAATTGCAGAAAGACATTTGACTTGCACAATAATATTTTTCATCCACTTAATGACTGAATGAATGAATGAAACCCATGATACTTTCCTAAAGCAGGCTCATTTTCAGAAATACTTTTTGGTTTTTTTGGTACTTATAGTTTTTCCTCTCTTCTATAGCAAAATAATCCATGTCAATCACTTTGTATAATACTTCTCTTTCTCCCCTCCGAAAAAAGAAAAAAAATTCCCAACTTCCTTGCTGTAAGATGACAAGCAGTAACCTCACAGTTAAGCAGCTCTCTGCTACTAGATAGTCAGGAAGACTAATTTAGAGTGAACTTTAGAAACAAGTATTTTAAAATAAGTAAATATTTTTACTTTAAAAATATGCTGTCTTTAGACTAGTTTTGTTCACCTGGAAAATCGCCTTTTGTCATCTTCTCATATAGCTTTGCTTTCTCTTCTAGCTTCTTTCTGAGAGAGAGGGGGGGGGAAAAAGCACAGTAATCTCTGTAATTCCAAACACAGTTCAAAATAACAAATTTATTCTTGTATATGTGGAATAGAAAAATAGCAATAGTGTTTGACATGTTTAATAGAAGTTGAGCTATGATTTTGAACATTAACTGTTATTTCTGAAGACGCATAGATATCCCCTTCCAGAACTGATACTGAAAATAGTTTTAATGAAGTTACAGACTTTATCTTCAGCACAATTGCCAGGTAGGCGGGAACATGAAGTCACAACTATTCCAACCCTATATAACTGAAAAAAATATGAAAGCTAGAACATAGAATTATGCTTGCTCTTAGACACTGAAGAAGAAAACTTTAACTAGCTTCTAGAATAGCAAAAATAGGAATTGTTTATAGACAATCAGCAAACAGGTTATAATTTACATTTTCAATGCATAGTTTGTTATATAACTAACCCAGGTAGAGGTCAATTCAAGTCCTATTTACTTTGAAAAGAGTCAGCTATTTTCTGTCAAATCCAGAAAACTCTTCACATTCTGAGATGGCAACCTCTGCCCCAGCTTCTGCTTCCAAAGATGACTTTGAAAGATCAGTTACCTGCCATATTTAGATAATTACGATAACGCTATGGTTGATTATTTTCCTCCAGAGTGAAAAGCATGAGACTACTGGTAATCTGCACTTCTCTGCTAAAGATCACAGAATTTTTGATGATCTTACCTGTTGATCTATTGAGAACTGTCAGCCCTGATTCATCGCTTATACATAAACTGATTTGTAACTCATTTTTATGCTTTTCTAAATGCTACAAAACATATTCTGCAAAGTCTTCATGCTTTATGCAGCCTAAGAATTACCTTGATTTATCTAATGTTTGGTCCTCTTCTGTCTTCTGCTCAATATCTTTCTCAGATCGATTTTTAACTCCTGCGTTCTGTTTGCTCCATATGCTTGGTTTCTGTGAGATGCAATTTTATTATTATTTTATTTTTGTTTGTTATTATTATAACTGCCTGGGTGAATAAGTGCATATTGCAAACTTTGCAAATATATCCTGAAAAACTGGTAGATAACATCTCAAGCATGTTTGATTTAAAACTGCTTCTACTGTGCTGTAGAATGCAATAGGTATGTGCTAAAATTACATATACATATATCAATAAATCACATTATGATATTATAGTTAAGGACAGACTGAGAAGCAAGAAAGTATTCGGAAATGAGGAAAATCCATGCTCGAAATAATGGCTAAAGTTAAAAAAAATAAAATCTTTTCCATTACTAAGTAGTTGCAAAGCTATGAAGAGTTTATATTCTCTATTATTCTTAGATTCGAGTCTAACATATAATCAATCTGGTTATTTACATTATAAAAACATAAATAGCTACATGCAGAGCTTCAAATATAGCAGTGATACTACATTCTTCTACTGAAAGCTACAGAATATATAGACGAAAAAATGCAATAATGATTAAAATGTGAGAGATAATTATGTAGTCATCATCATTCATGGCAATACAAAAGAAAAGAGAGCAGAATATTTATAAAATCTTGGAATATAATGACAAAGAAAGAGCTTTCCATTTGGTTACAAAAGCTGAGACTCTCTGGGGACTACAGGTTGAGAGATATTTTACATGGGCATGAGATGAGTTTTCAGCTATGCACTAGATGACCATCTGGAAATGAAATGAATTGGAATTTAAAAAACCTTCTCATCATACAGATTTTACTTTTGAAAAAAAACACAGTACTGAAACCTTTTTTTTTTTGTCCTTTCTCCTTAAGCTAAGAAAGATTCACATCATAAAAAAATATATATATATATATATATATATATATATATATATATATATTAAAAAGGAAAGATATTTCTACCTTATTAGAGGTTTTGGGCTTTGCGGGAAAGCCAGCATCTTTCAATAGCTTTTCTTTCTTGAATTCTTCTTGCTTTCGGAAGAGTTCTGCTTTGAGGTCTACCAACTACATGAACAGCAAAATAAATGAGTAATTAGCCAAGACACATTATGTGCATGTGCGCACACACACACACAGCAATACAATAAGTGTATTTCTGGTGAAATAATCTGGCATTTACAGTTATAACAGACTTCCCTTGCATTTCTCACAAGGAATTTAGAAGCACCGATCTGAACAGGAACATCATTGTTCGGTTAGGAACATCATTTCTTATGAAATATGAACTACTACATAGTTTAATTTGTATGGAAAACCCCTAACATCTAGGTAACAAATGAAATTTAGTCTCAAAAAACAAGAACCAATCGCTAAAAGTTTGTGTCCACAGAATATCGAACCTTTCCCGCAGCATTTAAGTTCTCTTGTATTTTTAATGTTATCGTTTCTCCTATGGCCGCAGCAACCTCCGTACGGAGGGGGCACTGCCCTACAGGCCGGGCCGCTCGGCCTGCGAGCGCCGTGGCAGGCGAGGAGCCCGGCTGCCCGGGCGGGACGCCGCGGCCCCGGTATCGGTACCGAGTGCCAAGGGCTGCGGCCCTGTCCGGACCCCGAAACCGGGGTCTCGTGTGACCGCCGCGCGCCGCCGCCTGCGGACGGAGGGAGCGGGCTCGGGCGGCCCCGCGCACGCTCTCCCTTCCTCCCTCCCTCCCTCCGTGCCGGCTCCCTCACGCACCGAGGAGGCGGCCACGTCCAGCGGCTTCTTCCTGCGGTCCATGGCAGCCGGGCCCAGCGGCGCGCCTCCGCGCTTCGCGGCGCGCCCGTAAAGCGCGCCCGAGCGGCGCGGCGCTCTTTGCGACAGCGGCGGTGAGGGCGGCTGCGACGGCTCCCCCCCGGCGCCATGTTGGGGAGGTCATGATGGACGGGGGGGGCAATGGTGGAAGGGCAAAACACCCCAACCCGGCACCCCGTGTGCGCCGGGGTTCAGCCCGCAGCCCCCGGGGAACAGGAGCGGCTCACTGCTCCCGGGGAGCGCCTTGCATCCATCCTCATGCCCCATGGGAGCAGGGCTGCATGGCTGGTTTTAACCCAGCACCCTTCAGGGGACCCCGATTATCTGGAGTTCCCACAGGAAGCCCCCTGCCACTCATCCTTATAAAAGGGGGGCAATATAAGGTGCTTGGGTGCTGTTGCTGGGCAGTGTGACAGCTGATACAAGGGCTCAGATGCACTTCTGCTGATTTTTGAGATGTTTTGCTTTGGTGCTTGGGAAGCTGGGTCAGGCCCATAATTAGCTGTTTTATGGAGGCAGAATTGCACATTTTTCCAACATGGATATTCCACAGCTAAACGTGGCGTGCGCTGTTCCAGGGAGCGTGAGGGGTGCAGGTCAGGAAGAGCAAAGTCTAACCTTAGTAGAGCCGACCTCCTTTTGGCCCACTGAAGGGAGAAAGGAAAATAACAGGAGACAACAGAAAAGAAAACTGTGGGTCATATTCGGGCCATGAGGTTTCTTGTTTTAATTTGTGTGGAAAGAGAGAAATAGCATTGCCTGAAAGTAGGACAAAGGAATGAAAACAGCTGTGCTGCTCTAATTAAATCTCCCTATAACAAATCATGTGCTAAGTCGTCTGTTCAAGCCTCACCTGGTGACAACAGCGAGGAGAGAAACCAGCCCAACCTGGGGCTGGATCTGACTTAGTAAGTCCCATCTTCTATAGCAGGGCAGTGTGTGGGAGGGCACAGCCCCCTTGGCATGTGTCTGTTCTCCCTGTTGCTCATGTTCTATGTTAGGGTGACAGGAATTGCTTGCTCGTGGTCCTGTGTTTCCAGGGTTGGAGGCTGAGAGCATCTGGGGAGCGTTGCCGTCAGGTGGGTTTCTCACACCATGAGGTGTTCCTGAAGGTGCAGGCCCAGCCCTGGGCATCTCCTTGTAACTGCAGGTGTGGGAGTGTCTCAAGGAACCCTGGTGAGTCTTCAGGACTTGGTCTGTAGAAAAGGATGCCCCGTTTCCAAGCACGATGAGTGAGGCTCCTGGATAGAGTCTATACATTACCAGTTTTGGAAAGGTAATAGTTGGTAGCTCTGTATGTGCTTCTTCATTTGGTTGGGCTGAGAGGAAAAATGATTCAAAAGCTGAATCTGCTCTCTCTGGATTCCACCTCTCTGTTATCTTCTCTTTTCAGTGTAGGCAAATATCTGAAACCAGACCTTCATCTGTGGGATTTCTTATTCCTTGGCACCAACTCTCAGCTCCATTAAGACTCTGTGTTTTTACTGCCTGCTCTGTCCTTGCTGCTGCCTTTTCCCCGTCCACATTTCATAATAATGTTCTTGTCACACCATTTTAATTTCAATTCATAGTAGCAGTTTTTTTCCTCTTTACAAGAAAATCGACCCTCTCCTGTAATGTCAGAAGCACCTATTCTCCTTTTCTGTATTTACCAACCTGTTTCTTTGTCAGTGATTTACTCTGTCATTCCCAGGCTTCGCATTTCTCTGCTCAAACCACACCCTCCATGTGTCCATATCTTCTCTTAAAACCTTTCTTTCTGCTCAAGGTCACCATACGTAACCAGGGCTGTGAGGAAAAATAGGCTACGGGGAAGGTTACCTGATGGGATGTGGAAAAAGGGATCAATCTTTAGAAACTGCAGGTTAGTTGGTGCTGTTCCTGTGAGCGAGGGCTGCAGGGCTGATGCTCCTGTGCTCACTGGGAACAGCAGACTGGGTATTTTGGGGGTTGTGGAGCTCTGGGCAGGCCTCCCCACCCTGTCAGCGAGTCAATCAGCAGCCCTGCTTGGTGCCCTGTAGCTGATGGTCTCCAGCAACGAGATAACCTTTAGCTCTCCTCCCTTTCTCAATTAACAGTGGCCAGAGCAGTGGGCGGTAACGAAGGCACCTGCAGGCAGCACAGAGGATTCCAGCACCCGCGGATCGTCAGTCCAGCGCTCTCACACCTGCAGCCCGGGACCTGGCAAGTTTGCATACACTTGGTTCCCTCAAAAAGGCCTGGTATCAACCTTGACCTATGGAAGTCTGTTCTAGGATACCTTTTAATCCTGCCCCTGGGATTAATGACAGGGGTAGCAGGAATAAGAACATCGCTACTAGGTGGCTAAGCCAAATATGCTCAATTTAAAGGGAACAGGATAAGGAAGGGGGAGTTGTCTTTTTGTGTGTATGACACCGATTCAGCGCATCTGCGCCAGGCTTAACTCTTACCAGGAATTTGTGCAGTCTATGTAAATGAGTGTGCGTGAGCTAAGGCTGCCGAGAGCCCTGGATTCCCAGGGAGGAACTCGTGCAGCATTTCTCATTATGCTGCTCATTTTGGCATAAGAGGCCTAATTGTGTTTACTTCCACAGAGCTGCAGCAACACAAAAGGCTTTTTCATCATTTTTGAGGAAGATAGGGATCACTGTTGGTATTTCTAAGTTTTTTCTTAAGAGGCAGGGGAGGTTGGTCCCCTTGAGGGGTTTGGTGAGGATGCTGTACGAGCTCCAAATGGATCAGATGGAAAGCCTGGATGTGCCCTTCCCCTACCTCCCTTCCAAAAACTGCATTTAGAAAAGACATTCAAAAACAAATTATGTTGATGTTTGGAGGATTTGCTGTTCTGAGACTGATTCTTTTATAGCCAGCAAGAACATCAAGGCCCCAGGAAGAAGTGAAACCCGTTTTGGTTGCTGCATCGTGGTTTGGTGAAATATAATGGTAGGCAATTAACAGCTGAACGTTTTAAAATAAAACTTGGGGTTAGGGTGCTGTGCCACCATGCAGCAGCTTGATAGCCTCTTGATGTGAGGTTTGAATCCACGTCGCTCTGAGGATGGAGAAATTCTCTTCCTGTGAAGGAAGAGACATTTTCTGGTGTCTTTTAGGCAATGAATAGCTCAGAAGTTATCGTACCCTGGCTAGTTTGTGCTATGTTAGGTAGCCCTTTAAAACAGGGCAATAATTTTCTCAGTTTCTACTGCTTAACTCTCCATGCAATCAATAGCACACAGAGTTTGAGCTTTTTAAAGAGGAAGTTTGATGCAAGAGGCTACAAATAAATTGTGGCAGAAGCAAAATTACTTGCAGGCTAGTTCTTTTGAAGTGAATAATCCAAAAGTGGTTCCCTTTCCTTCACAACAAAGTTTATGTCTCTTTCCAAGACAAAGTCCCCAGCATATCTTCTCTTTTCGCTCTGATCTGTGTATTTCTGCAAAGATACCTGGAACTTAACCCAGGATTTTGTATTCCAGCTTTAAAATTGCAGGAGTGTCGGGAATTGCTGCAGCAAAAACAAAAAGTCTCCCTTTGCTGGTCAGAAAAAAAAGGGCTGATGCCATTTTTATATGGATTTTAGCAAGCTATGGTGAAAATGGGCATAGTGACTCTTCTTCCTTTGAGGAGTGCGCGTGCGTTTTCCTGACTCTGACTGGCATAAGAAAAAAATGAGCACTAATGGTAAGATAAGCAAATTTGTCAATGTTTCCCTGTACAGGCAGGTATAAACACACATGTTTTCTGAACTGGAGATGTAAGAAGCAGGGAAATTGCAAAGAAAACTCTTTGGTTTATCAGTTAAATGGCAGCGATGAGGGCAGGGAACATTAACATTCCCTGCACAGGAACCACAAGCTGCTGGAATCGGGAGTATTTTGTTGTGTGTTGCCTTTGTGGAGCTGGCGTAAAAGGCAAGTCTGCCCTTTAAGGGCCTGCTCAGCTCCTTGAGATTTACCCATTCATCTGTCCACCCTTCTTCTCTCGCCATCTGTTTCTTTTTCTGTGGACACGTGAAGTTGCTCCGTCCCTGCAGCAAAAAGCAGCCCGGGTGCTTCACAGAGAGGCTCTCATATGAAGTGCAGGGTTGCTGGATCTGCAGGCGCGGATGGAGTTGCCTCCACGCTGAGGTTTAGCCCTGCAAAGAAGCTGCGTTTTCCCTTCCAGACCCTCTCGAGACCCTGCGAACTTGCGTGTCCTGCTCTTGGGCTGGGATGCCAGGCTGGAGGAAGAGCCTTGTGCTGTGTCTGCAGTGGACCCAGGACAGAGGTAAGGCCAGGGGGGAAGCGCAGAGCAGAGCTGGGGGTTACAGCCCAGAGGTGCTTGTGGGAAGAGCGTGGCCTCCATGCTCCTCCCCGATATATGTCCAAAACATGTGGCTATCGGTTATTAAAATAAATAAAGAGGAACAACCACAGTACAGCTTCCCCTTAGGAAACATATTTTCTCCCCGAAATCAGTTACTGTTCCAGAGTGCTGGTCCTCCTTGGTGCAGATGCTGTTAGTGCATTCCTGGCTGTTCTGCTTAAAGCACTGTCTTTAATCTGAACCTAGCCTAGCAGGTTCAGCTTTTGCAGCGGTAAAGCTGGGTGCACCTGGTAAAAGCAGCTATAATGGTTGGGAGCTTTAAAGCTCATGTACCTGCTTCATGCTGTGGGTTTTTCCTCTTGAAGAAATCACTGGGCTATCGATTGTGTCAAGAAGACAGACACATGCTCGTTGCAAATGTAACTTTCCCAAGAAACTGCTTTCTAACACTGAGTTTAAACCTGTTATTTATGTTCATTTAATGTCAGAGTGATGTTGTGAGCTGTATTTATTTCACCTTCACTGCCTGTGAAATGATTCTGTTTATGTCCCACTGTTTGAGTTGAATTATTTTAAACCAGCAGGCTCGTGGCAGCATATTCAGGTTTCCTGACATGGGGGCAGGAATCTGGGTCCTCTGGCATATTAATTAACTACTTTGGGGGAGGAGGGGTAATTTTCATTTACTAGTCATAGTGCAATATTGTTAAATTGCTGTTGGTGTTTTTTAATCTTGAAT